CTAATTTTTACGTAAGTCTAATAAATGTAAAGTTTGGGAGTTAAAAGACTAAACAATGGAATATTATGTGACATTAAAAAGTACGAACTGCTGACACATACTATAAAATGGGTGAAGCTTGAAAACATTATAAGTGAAAGAAGCTAGTCACAATAGGCCACATATTATTCCATTTGCATGCAATGTCCAAAACATGCAAATCCGTAGAGACAGAAACTTAGATTAGTGGTTGCCTGAGACTTGTGGGAAATAAAGAGTGATGACAAATAGGTACAAGATTTCTTTTGGGGTGGGTGATGAGCTTGGTGCTGAGGAACCTACAGCGGGAAGTGCCCCTGAGGCGGGCGCAGCTCCGCGAGAAGGTGCAGGCAGTGCGGAGAGCCCTGTGGGTGCAGAGGTTCGACCTGGGGGTCGTCTGTGTCGACAACAGATTCAGCCGATTAATAGGATCTACAGAAACAAAAATACCCCAACAGATGTGCTTTCCTTTCCATTTAACAAGGATCTGAAAGCAGGCAAAATTCCCCAGCCTGATTTTCCAGATTACTATAATTTAGGAGACATTTTCCTGGGAGTGGAGTATATCTTCCAGCACTGCAAAGAAAATGAAGATTACTATGACATCCTGACTGTGACTGCCACCCACGGGCTCTGTCACCTGCTGAGCTTCACACACAGCGCGAAGGCCGAGTGGCAGAAGCGGTACCAGAAGGAGAAGCAGGTTCTCGAGGAGCTGAGCAGGCACACAGGGACCAGGTTTCTGCCCCTGAGCAGGGGCCTCTTCTGACTGAAGTGCCACAGTGTGAATGAAAGGTGGATCCCCCCCTTGGGCCCCAAGGATCAGGGGTCCCCCACGCTGAGGTCCTTGCTGGCCACTGCTGTCCTGTGGGCTGCGGAATTGCCAGCCCTAGCAGGTGCTGAATTCTCTGAGTGGAACCTGCCTCTTAAAACACTAGAGAAATTTCCACTCATTTCTTTGTTCAGGACACAGGTAGGTGTGTTATTTTCAGTGTTGTAAATAAAATAGTTCTAAGTGCTCAGAAAAAAAAAAAAAGATTTATTTTGGGGGTTCTAAAACTAGGTTATGGTAATGGTTGCACAATTCTATAAATATAATAAAAACCACTGAATTTTATACTTTAAAGTGATGAACTTTGGGGGTATGTAAATTACATCTCAACAAAGCTGTTTTTAAAAAAAAAATCAATTAGATAAGCCCTCAGCAGTAGGTATAGTGTGTCATTAAGAACACTGGTATTGTATACAGTGTGATTAAGAGCACTGGCTGGAGCCAGACTGCCTGCCTGTACCACTTATATAAACTGTTCAATTGTAGGCAGGTTAAGTAACCTACACTTCATAGTATAAAGAGAGTTAACAGACATAAAAACACTCAGAATAGCACCTGGCTTATATTAAGTATTATATGAGTTACTCTTATTAATCAGCCTTTTACAGGAGAAAAATCCACACTTCTTTGAAGTTAAACTAAAAATGAATGTAAAAATTATCCTTTATGAAAATTGTTACTTTTTAAATTTAGAGTGTACATGAATAATGGAACATACATATCACATTAAAATAATCTAGGGGAAATACAATATATAAATTATAGCTCTCAATTTATAAATATTATTTGGTTTCAGTTTTAATCTACTTTGTAATCCTACCTTATACCTTCAAGGAGCCAACGTTAAATATAATTAAATGCATCACTTACACCAACTGGTTTTGATAATCTTTTTTTTTTTTTAACATCTTTATTGGGGTATTATACCCCAATTACCCATCTTACTGGGGTATAATTGCTTTACAATGGTGTGTTAGTTTCTGCTTTATAACAGAGTGAGTCAGTTATACATATACATATGTTCCCATATCTCTTCCCTCTTTGTCTCTGGATAATCTTAACTTGTCCAATTCTTTTAATTTACAAAATGAGTGTTCCCTCTAGTGGTATTTTACAATGAGAAAAGTCAATGTTTACAAAAGATGGAAGATTTTATTTACAAACATTTAATTATTATAAACATTTAACTGTTTTAGTATTTGTCAAGTATTGAATGGGTAATAAGTTAATCAATATTTTATAAAACAATGAAAATGCAATATATTTCTTCTACCATGAAGAAACTGAAGTTCTCTACAGATCATTCCTAGTATACTATTATAAAATTTTAAATGAATTATAAGTATCTTAATAGTCCTTCAGATATTCAGAGGGTATATACTCATACCTCAAAGAGAAGCCCTTTAGGACTATTATATGAAGATCGTTTTTCAGAATTCATACCATGGAATAGATTTTAAACAGATGCCAAGAAATGTCACAGATTTAATAAGCCACGCAACTAACCCGGGTTTGAAAGTTCCTGAACTGTTCTAACTGCCCAGCAGGCCTCCCTGATTAAGATGGAGACTATAATTTTGGAAGTAAAAAGCAAATTCATAAAAAACTAGAAGCCCCACGACTAGTAACAAAGAAGAACTCTCTCTCCTGGCAAGCATGTTATTTTATCCCCAGAAATAAGCAGTTGCCAAAATATAACTCATAATTGTTTATATATAACATTATACAAGTATTATCAATACTTTTAAAATCTGGGGAAAATGCTGTCAATTTCTATTCCTCTTGGATGACACTCTTCATATTTTAGTTCTTCCTTGATGATTCTCTGGTCTATCACCATGAAAAGTAATACAACAATATAGCTACTTAAAGTTAGTGAGCATCTATTACATAACCAATACCATTCTAGGGCCTTTTATCACCATTTTCTACAGTATGACATATTTTTAAAAATCACTTCACATACTTCACCTTCCCAGAGAGTATATTCCAATGGAAGGATAGCAGCAAGGAAGAAGTGCCTTTCAAGATTAGTGACTGTCATCAAGATTTATGAGTTGCCATAAAAACTTCCAGAGATCTCTTCTGGGTACCACAGCCACAATCTCCTACAGATTGACCTCAATCTACCACTTTCTCAACCTAAGTCTATCAAAATAATCTTTAGTCTTGCCTGTAGTGCTTAACCCCTTGTCACCTGGACAGCAGAGAGAACCTGAGACTGTTTAAATCTCAGCTAATACTCGACTGAACCAGAGAAATGGCCTAACGTACATCAGTATTTCACGCAACTGAAGGCCTCTCATTCTGCCATTCCTACTCTTGCAAATCATCCTTTCTTCCCTTGGATGAGAGTCTAACCTTAAAGGCCATATTTCAGGGTATTCTTGATCTCATGGGCTAAGTTCATGCTGTAATGGGCCACTTTAGAAAACTATCAAATCCAGGTACAAACATCGAGAGAAATGCATGAAGAATAGAAAGAGAAGGGTAAGAATTATACAAAGGATAGCAAAGGAGTTATAACAATTGAATTAAAAATTTAGCTGAATGTCCTAATAGTCAAGCTAGGCACATACAATGAGATTTTATCATAACGTTTATAATATAACATTTGGTACACCTGCTTAAAAAGTTCAAATTTCAAAAGTGGTTCCTTGAGGGCTTCCCTGGTGGTGCAGTGATTGAGAGTCCGCCTGCCAATGCGGGGGACACGGGTTCGAGCCCTGACCCAGGCAGATCCCACATGCCGTGGAGCAGCTGGGCCCGTGCGTCACAGCTACTAAAGCCCGCGCACCGTGCTCCGCAATAGGGGAAGCCGCTGCAGTGAGAAGCCCGCGCACCGGGGAAAAAAAAAAAAAAGTGGTTCCTTGGACTTCCCTGGTGGTCCAGTGGTTAAGATTTCTGTGCTTCCACTGCAGGGGGCACTGACTCAATCCCTGGTTGGGGAACTAAGATCCCACATGCCCCACAGTACCACCCTCCCCCCAAAAAAAAGTGGTTCCTTAACCAAGTAGAGTATCTTACTCCTACTGTAGGATGCTCCTACTGCAGGATGCTCCTACTGCAGGACTGCACGTATCCCCCAAGAGTAAAATTTTAAACTAAAAAGGCTAACGGTAACAATGACAGAAGACTTTACAGATGTTTATAAGGAGATTCACAACTGTATACATTGCTATATGTTATGTTTACCCTCTAACTCAAATAAGCAATCCTCAAACAAACAGAATAAGGCTAAAGAAATCTTTTCAGTTTGAGTCCTATCTGTATATAATCTCTGCTCAGGTATGGAATATACAACCACTTCACTGGAGTATAAAACCTATTGAGAATCACTGTACTAATGGTTCAATTAACAATTATTAAGCAACTGTTCTAGGTCTTGCTGCACAAAAGAATAATGGAACGGACCCCATACTTAGGGAACAATAGATCAATCCTGTCAATGGACATTAGCATATCCAACTAGTTACAACATATGTGAGACTGTGATATGTATAATCATAATCTGTGCAAGTTTGTCAAAACTAACAAATTTTCTTATGAAAATATTAAATAAATTAGGTGATTGTTTTTTCCCATTGTTTTTGGCTACTGACTTAAATCCATTTGTATCTCTAATCAAGCCACACTGTTTTACACTTATATTTCTTTTTTTCTTAGATTAAGAAATTGTGCCAATTTTTAATTAGGTGGATTTCAGTATAATTTATTGCATTTCTCACATCAAAGATTTCAGAATTCTAACATTACATCTTATTTCACTAAATTCTGCTTTTTAGAAAAGTAATTTTAACTACTTTATTCTATTCTTCCCTTTATTCAGTGTTTATCATTCCTAATTGTATTTCTAACCCCTCTCCCCAAAATCAATCAAGTATCCTACAATTAGATGTAAAGCATCTAGAAACAGTTGTCGGGACAATGTCACAAGCCTGATACCAAAAATCTAAAGTATTTTAACTATTTACAACATAAAAGAGGTTATGACAGAAGGTTGATAGACTCTGACCTATTCTCATACAAACATCTATCTAAGTGCTACTTTTTTCAACATGTGGTCTTTACTCATTTTAACTGGTTCAGTTCCTGAAAAAAGTGGGTTTCAGACAATATACTCCAATCAGTTACATAAGAAACAACTAACCTTTTGCTCTGCTTGCAGTTGGTCACATCTTTCTTTCTCATGGTTAAGTTCTCTTTCCATTCTTCCAACTTGTTCTCGAAGTTGTGTTGTTTCTTTTTCCAGAACAGCAATTAACTTTAACAGTTCTTCTTTTTCTTTCATGGTTTTCTCAATTTTCAACTATAAAACAGAACACTCAAATTGTTTGTTTTATAATCTTATAATACATTACTAATTCAGTTTTCCATTTCAAAAAAACAGTGAAGAAATTTGCAGAAAGGACTTTTACATACTATCTACTTCATATCAATCAGACTCTTTTAGTCTTCAGTTAGAAAAATTCATGAATCATAAACTTAAACCATTTTTTGGTTGGGCAAAGGAAAAAAACATTACAAGAAGGTATAAAAGTAATGAATTTTATTATGAAGTTGCCTGCTAATCACTTTTCAAATCAGTACTAAAAATGAGGCATATTAAGTTTCATAAGTGACTTAATTCTGGGCTGTTCTTATTTTGGGTAATAATCAAGGAGAAAAATGTGTACCTCTTCTTGAATGCAAATCTATGGGAAATCTTTGAATCTATTAAGAACTTGCTTGTGTGTTACATAAGGCCTTCATCTATGGGATTACTGTGAAAAGTTCTTTAAATAAGGTACTAAGGAATAAGTTTCTATATGTATAAAATGGCCTCTATTTAGCTAAATTAAAAGAAATTTAATAAGTAAATGCAAATTTTAAGACAAAAATGCACACTGTAACATATTAACAATATAACTGACTCTTACATGAACACTAAGTTACTTAGTTCAGGAAAATCTAAACTCCAGTATTCTAAAAATTACCAAATTAAGGGACCTAAAATAGTAAATAAAATGGTTAATATTTCTCTTATAGCAAGAAGTCTGATTCTAACAAGGGAAGAAGAACAGAGACTCAGAGGGAAAACTTCACAAAGGAGGCATCATACATTTAGCTAAAATAAAATGTTTTCCCCCAGTACACCCCAAGTCACTTTTCCAGGGTCATGGAATCAAACTCTAATTAAACTCTAAAATGGCTCTTATGAAAGTTAAAGAACTGTAAAATTTTTAAATGACCCATCTATCTCTTCCATCAGACTAAATGAAAATGACAGGAGTAAATGCCCTCAAAAGGGAAAAGTTTGGGCTTCCCTGGTGGCGCAGTGGTTGAGAGTCTGCCTGCTGATGCAGGGGACACGGGTTCGTGCCCCGGTCCGGGAGGATCCCACGTGCCACGGAGCGGCTGGGCCCATGAGCCATGGCCGCTGGGCCTGCGCGTCCGGAGCCTGTGCTCCGTCTGCAACGGGAGGGACCGTGGCAGTGAGAGGCCCGTGTACCGCAAAAAAAAAAAGGAGAAAGTTTACTTATTCACTGAATTTTTTACCTTACCTATTTTTTAAAAAATAATTTTTGCCTCTAAGCTTTCTGGCCACTTAAAAATAAAGGTACACCTTGACACAGTACAACAGAAACATTATAAAAGAACCATTTTTTCCCAGTGATTCATTTAACTGACACATACTTCAGAGTTCACTAAATCTTAAGTAGAAATTTTTAAAAGGAATTAAAATTATATGAAAGTGTATACAAGTCTAATTCCTGTCCCCAGTTTTGTATTCTGGTATCTTTCCAGCATACAAAAAAGTTAAAATTTTACCATGAACACCCATAACCTAAATTCAATAATTATTAATATTTTGCCATATTTACTCTCCCTCTATATACCTAAATTTTATTTTTCTTTCTTTTTTTTTGCTAAAGCATTTGAAACATAATTGCAGATACTTCACCCCTAAGTGCACAGGCCAAGCATCTCCTAATAAGTACAGTCTTGTATTTAACCACTACCATGATCATAGCTAAGAAAATTAACAATAATTTTATAACACCCAACGGGTAGTCCACAGTTAAAATATCTACACTACCCCCAAAATATCTACTTTTTAGAAATCTAGAATACAACCAAGGTTCACAAACTGAAGGATTGTGGCTCAATCATTCTTAATGACAACAGTGCCCTAGATAATGTCTCACACTTGTACTAATTTGGTGCATTTTTAGTAAAATCATTAAAGATTTTGATAAATGTGGAAATTTAAAAGACTTGTCAAAAAATTGATCAGAATATAAATACCTTATCTCAGAAACATTTACCTAAGAGACAGCATACATTTTATGAGTAGGAAGAAGAGAACTAAATTGTGCAATGTCCCAATTTACTTGGAGCACAAAAGATAGGTAGATGCCAAAATGCCTGTTGTTTTTCTGTTGGAGGTCCTGAAATCAGGGTGGTCTAACAAGTATCCAAAAAAACTGCAATATAAACAGTCACTGCATTCTTCATAAGATCTAGGCTTGTTTCAGCATCTTTGACTAGCATTCAAATACCAGGCTACAAACCTTGATCATCAGGCGGTTGTCACCACAACATGTTTTAGTCACCCTATAAAAGTTACATTTCTTTATTTAAGATAAGAGAGGAATTTCTGGAAGGGGGAAGGAAAGATACAGAAAATTTCACAGTAAGTTACTGGTTCCTTCTAGCCTTCTTAGTTCGACTGTCTAATACCTATAACCTCTTGTCTTTTTTCTGTAGTCTGTTTTTTAAGATAAATAAAATCAAAGGCATAAAATATTCACATATAGAAAACATCTGAGTATAAAGAATAAGCAATGACTCGCCATAGGCTAAATAGGAATGTAAAATAACCAAAAATGTATACTGAACCAATTAAAGAAGATCTTTTTCACAGAAACTCAAATATAACATTCTAATTTTTTAGGTTTACGGTAAAGACATTGAGAAATATCTTGAACTAGGAAAGCTGTTCTATTTTTTTCCTTCACTAAGTACTAAAAATTAAGACATATGGCATTATTAGACCATCTACACAGAAAATTTCTTTTTTTTTTTTTTTTTTTTTCCTTGCGTTATGCGGGCCTCTCACTGCTGTGGCCCCTCCCATTTGCGGAGCACAGGCTCCGGACGCGCAGGCCCAGCGGCCACGGCCCACGGGCCCAGCCGCTCCGCGGCACGTGGGATCCTCCCGAAACGGGGCACGAACCCGCGTCCCCTGCAACGGCAGGCGGACCCTCAAGCACTGCGCCACCAGGGAAGCCCAGAAAATTTCTTTTGATGCAAGTGCAATGACTCCAAAATATTCAGTGAAAAACAGTGAGAAGCTTTTTCACCTTTTTTTTTAAAATTATGGTTAATCCAGCGTATTCATTTGATCAGATAAACAGGAAAAGAAATCATTCTAAAAACGCTGAACCTAAATTACGAGACTGGGATGCTTTACTGATTCACTGCCACACGTGAGACAGAGCATGCTTGTGTTATAGTGAAATGAAGTTCACATCCAATTACAGTTAGACTTACTGCTTTATACCACTTTCCCTCAGCTTCACCCCCAAATCTGTACTATTCCACAATCAACAGATTAGGCCATCCCTAAAGAAGAAACGTTACGGGGAGGGAACATTAGGAAGTTTTAGGTCTAAATTCTCTCAATAATTACTTACTGCAGATATACTATGCACAAAATACTGATAAGCCTAGGGACAGTCCCTGCCACAGTGAAATCAGTAACATAATTGTGACAAATTGTTTTTTAAGTATTTCAAAAACAACACTCTAAGTTTATTATTTTAGTTAAAAAGCATTTGATTTTCAGGTTATACTCCTGCATAACCTAAAAATTCTTTAAATGCCAACCAACATGAGCTGTGTTTGTAATTTATCTATGACTGATTTGTCTTTTTTTAAAACATTCACTATTTTTAAGTCACAGTTCATAACAAAATAATCCAGTTCTTAATATAAATTTATGAATCACCAGCTCACTGTTGGTACCAACCTCAAGAAGGCCAGCTTTTGTGGTCACCACCAACATGTCAGAATTTCCTTCATCTTCCATAGTAAGCAACTCTTCAACTGGAGAAGCAGCTCGAAACTGGAAAGGTGTACTTGCTCCACGAATTTCACCCTTATGGGTAACATAACAGAACTGATAAAACTCTCCATCATCATTTGGAAGGTAATATCCTAAGAGGAAGTTAACAAACAAAAAAAGTATTAAATTTTCTGTTATAAAATTATTTGAATTTAACAAATCTTGCCATATCCTCTCATTTATGACCCTGTTTCTAAGCACTCAGGATATGTCTTTCCTATCTTTCACAAATTATCTATCAAAACTAGACTCTTGGGCTTCCCTGGTGGCGCAGTGGTTGAGAGTCCGCCTGCCAATGCAGGGGACACAGGTTCGTGCCCTGGTCCGGGAAGATCCCACATGCCGCGGAATGGCTGGGCCTGTGAGCCATGGCCGCTGAGCCTGCGCGTCCAGAGCCTGTGCTCCGCAACGGGAGAGGCCACAACAGTGAGAGGCCCACAAACCGCAAAAAAAAACAAAAAAAACCTAGACTCTTCTTTCTTCCCTAAACATGCCCATGTTTTTCTTATCTTAGGTCTAAGCTTATACTCTCAGAATATTCTTTCCCTGTATCTTCACTAGGGTAAAACCAATTCATCTGGGAGAGTCAAGTATGCAGTTTTCAATGAGAAAGAGGCTGAAGGCGGAGCAATGGAAGAACCAGCATAAAAGCCTAAGAGGACCAGGGGTTGGAATACATCATTTAAAGAAATGTTCCCTCAAATATGACATTAACTAAATGCAAAAGGGAGATATTAACAAACGGAATACACTGCACATGTACACTGTGTAAGGGCAGAAAGAGGATGAGGTCTACTGATGCAGAACAAAAATAAGCTTTGGAACCACACAGATTTATTCTGGAATTCCAGCTCTACCACTAATTATTATTTACTTAACTTCCCTGAGCCCAAATTTCTTATCTGTAAAAGAAATTTGAAGCCATCTATCTCAAAGTTCCAAAATACCATGGATTATACAGTTACATCATCTAGCCCACTATCTGACAAATAACATGTGTTCAATATTTGTTCCTTCTCTCTTCAGCTCAACTGTTAACCTCTTTTAAATTTTGCTGTATTATCCTAGCTCAAAATTAATCCTCTCCAAATCCTAGCTCAAAATTAATCCTCTCCAAAGCTCCCATGGTATTTTTTACATTAAAAAAAAAATCCTCCACCATGTATTTTGCATTACCATTATACACATGCTTTATAGCCTACATCCAGAACTCAGAAATACTGAGGGCAGATTATTAATAAATATAAAAATTCTGGAATTCCCCCAGAATGACCTGAAAAAAGGAAGCATTCAATGACTGTGAAATGAACATACAAAGGTGAATATATTCCCCTTATCTTGGCTATTAATATCTACCCAGAAATGTGCATTCACTATGCCTATTATTCCTTCATATCTTGAAATTTTTAGCCTCATTATTATGATATTGACTTCACTTGACTTCACTCTTTAAAAAATAGGTGAACTTTGTCCACAGAGTGGAGGGGGGCAGAGAAAATATACGCCTGAAACATCCTGTGGTGCTTAAAAATAAGAAAGAAGTTGTCAAAAAAGAAGGGGGTGGGGGAGTCAAAAAACACAGAAGCCCCCTTGACAGACCTCCCAATAGCCAGAGAAAGCTAAAACAATTTGAGCAACAAAAAAATGATAGCATTAGACTTTATTCCACAGAAGGAAATATATATGCATGAATGAGAAAAGGATGACTCTTCCTTACATTATAATTGCAATTAATAATGTCCAAGAAATGAGAATAGAAAAGCATCATCAGGCAAAAACAACAATAATTATTGTAGGCAAGATCCACTGATGGATACTAAAATTAGTGGGTGAAAGTTTGAGGAGAAACAAGGTATCTCAAAATTGTTCCCCATACGACTGTTAAATCACAAAGGGAAAAATACTAACTTTACAGTGGAGAAACCCAGCAGACACCACCTTAACCAAGTGATCAAGACTAATATTACGGGGCTTCCCTGGTGGCGCAGTGGTTGAGAGTCCGCCTGCCGATGCAGGGGACACGGGTTTGTGCCCCGGTCCGGGAGGATCCCACATGCCGTGGAGTGGCTGGGCCCGTGAGCCATGGCCGCTGAGCCCGAGCATCCGGAGCCTGTGCTCCGCAACGGGAGAGGCCGCGGCAGGGAGAGGCCCGCGTACAAAAGACTAATATTACGGGCTTCCCTGGTGGCGCAGTGGTTAAGAATCCGCCTGCCAATGCAGGGGACACAGGTTTGAGCACTGGCCCGGGAAAATCCCACATGCCACGGAGCAACTAAGCCCGTGCGCCACAACTACTGAGCCTGAGCTCTAGAGCCCGTGAGCCACAATTACTGAGCCCACGTGCCACAATCACTGAAGCCTGCGTGCCTAGAGCCCGTGCTCCGCAACAAGAGAAGCCACAGCAATGAGAATCCCGCGCACCGCAACGAAGAGCAAGCCCACACGCAGCAACAAAGACCCAACACAGCCAAAAATAAATAAATAATTAAATAAGTTTTTTTTAAAAGACTAATATTACTACTAAGAAGGCAATCAGACATCAAGTACTCTCTGATACAATGCACTGAAAAGAATACATCATCACTTCTATGATATTCTTCCTGAAAATGTATAGCCTCAATCTAATCATGAGAAGCTGTCTGAAAAACTCAAAATGAGGAACATGCTACCAGAACAAAACAAAACTGAACAGTACTCTTAATAAATGTAAAGGTTATGAAAGACAAGGACAGAATGAGGAGCTATCACAGACTGGAGAAGACTATGAGGATACGACAACTAAATGCAATGTGGGATTATGGACTGGATCCAGGAACAGAAAAAAAGAACACTACAGGAAACACTAGTGAAATCTGAATAAAGTTTGTACTTTAGTCAACAGTGTTGTACCAATGTTGAATTCCTGTTTTTTTAAATAAATGTACTGTGGTTATGCCACATGTTAACATTAAGGGAAGCTGGGTGAAGGGTAGATGAAGATTCTGTATACTATTTTTGCAACTTTACATCTAAAATTATTTCAAAATACAAAGTTTTTAAAAGAAGTAATACAGGGAATTCCCTGTCGGTCCTTTCCAGTGGTTAGGACTCTGTGTTTCCACTGCAGGGGGGCAGAGGTTCGATCTCTGGTTGGGGAACTAAGATCCTGCAAGCCTCGAGGCACAGCCAAAATAAGTAATTAAAGGTACATCTAGCAATAAATTTTTGAAGTTTTTAAAAACCCCATCCTCCTACTATCTACTACTAACTTTATTAATCAGTGGCTGAGACACTTTGCAAAGGCCACTACACTTACTTTTAAAGTTTAAATAGAAAAGAAAAATATAGTTTGACTAATCAGCTCTAGTATCATGGCATTCCACAACGGGAGAGGCCACAACAGTGAGAGGCCCATGTACCGCAAAAAAAAAAAAAAAAAAAAAAAAGATAAACTACATATATAATTTATAACTTTCTTAATCTATAAAGCATCTATGAGGACCTAAATCTCTGTCTATATTACAGTACAAATTTTATTCTCTGAATATGTACAAATTTTATTCTCTGAAATTTTATTCTCTGAATATATTACAGTACAAATTTTATTCTCTGAATATGTATATTACAGTACAAATTTTATTCTCTGAATTTAAATCTCTGTCTATATTACAGTACAAATTTTATTCTCTGAATATTCTCTTGTCACAGTACGTAAGGAAACTTTTTTATATACGCAAGCTCCATGTGATCACATTCCCAACTGATGTTCACACCAAACATATACAAACCTCGTAATAAAAAGTTCTTTTAAAGAAGTAAACCACCAAAATCCAAAACACTAACACCACCGAATGCTGGTAAAGATGCACTCCAACAAGAACTCTCATTCGTTGCTGGTGGGAATGCAAAATGTTTTTGCCACTTTGGAAAAAAGAGTTTGGTGGTTTCTTATGAAACTAAACATATTCCTACCATATAATACAGAAATCATACTCCTTGATATTTATCCAAATGAGTTGAAAACTTATATCCACCCAAAAACCTGTGCATGAATGTTTATACCAGCTTTACAGCTTTATTCACAACTGCCAAAACTTGGAAGCAACCAAAATATTCTTTTTGTTTTTGTTTTTTGCGGTTCATGGGCCTATCACTGCTATGGCCTCTCCTGCCGCGGAGCACAGGCTCCGGATGCGCAGGCCCAGTGGCCATGGCTCACGGGCCCAGCCGCCCCACGGCATGCGGGATCCTCCCGGACCAGGGCACGAACACATGTCCCCTGCATCGGCAGGCGGACTCCCAACCACTGCACCACCAGGGAAGCCCCCAAATATTCTTTAACAGACGAATGGATGAATAAGCTGTGTTACATCCATACAATGGAGTATAATTGGTTTCCTTTGCAATTCTGGGCATTTCATGTATATTAAAATATTATACTGAGACACAGTCCATTAGCTTCCCCAGACCAAAAACAGTCCATGGTATAAACAAGACTAAGAATCTGCTTTAATACAATCCAAAGTCAGTATAATTTTACTACAAAAATCACTCTACAGCAAGTGCTGTTATAGATTTCTAAATAAAATTTTTGTGTTTTGTTTTAAAGCAACAGGGTGTATTTTTTTCATATAACAAGCAATCTGGAGGCAGTTGCCTGCTGGCCTTGATTCAGTGGCTCAGACATGTCAGGATAGACATATATGTGCTTGTCTATGCCTTCCCCTCATGGCCACAGGAGGGATGCTGAAGCTCTAGCCATCACCTTTGTGAAGGCAGAATGTGGGGGGAGGGGCAATACCAGGTATAGCTCCTCCTTTAAATAAGAGAATTTTTAAAAATCTGTATATAATGCTAAGCTAAGACAAAAATGAATTTTACATTACTCACATCCATTTTATAGGCAACTTTCCCTATAGAATTTCTACTCTATAAATCCTGTTAATCATCTTTGTGATTTTCATATGGAATATTTTTCTCATCTCTAATTTGTTATATTATCTAATAACAGCATTATTTTCTCATTTGAAAAAAAAGATCATCAAAAGACTGCTCTTCAATGAAAGACAATAAGGAAAAAACCTTTCTCTACATAAAATACCATGTGACCTACACTAGATATTTACATTCTTATGACTTTTGATAAAGAAAGATACTAATTAATTCAACTTTAGTCACTAGACATGCTTAAGTAGATTACAATGGGATACAACATTTTTAATGGCAATAAAACATCTAATTTCATCTAGTTCTGCTTTTCAGTTCTCACCTTGAAATGCTAACACACAATTGACTGTTGATCCTTCTACATAATGTTCAGGCACAGGGGACCATAAAAACGTGTAATAATCACGAGCAGTACTCCATCCAACCTAAAGGAAAACAACAAAAACATGGATATTATAAGTAAGTGGTTTAATATGAGTTATATCTTATAGCATATTGTTTTTCACTGCATCCTAAAGTTAAAGCGTGCATTAATGTTTACAAATCCTGAGCATTTTAACAATCACGTCAAATTTTTATTATAATTTTTTATTAAGCTATAACCTAATGCTATAAAAATCTATAACAGCAGAGTTTCTACTATGTATTAAAATGCAATTTGATATCCAATTTATCAAGGAAAACCTTAGTACACATATGATCAAATATAAAAACATGTTTCACTTAAAATTTGATTTCACTAAACATAAGTTTTTAAAATTTATTTTATGCCTTGAATTTAACTGTTTTTTTTTAGTTAGATTTCCCCCTCCTCCTTAAATCCACTAATTAAACTTCACTAGTCTGTCATCTTTAGTTAAGTCTTGCCTACAGGCAATGGCAAATTTTGTAAAAATTTATTTTTACCATTATTCCTAAGGTGTTTATATATACAAAAAGACCACTTATGTCCCACCAATCTCTAAAACATTTCCACCTTACAACATGAATATATACATTACATATCTCAGTCTTTATTTTCCAGATGAACTGTACTGTGGTAAATACTGAATATTAGATATGTTTCAAACAGGTACTAGATATCCATTTGCCAGTATATTACAAGAAATTATGCATCATCCACGAGGTTTGATTATAAATATGTTCTATAATTCTGATCCATTTAGGATTAGAGGGTCCAGAATATTGAAACTGGAAGAATCTTAGTAATCTTTAGTCTCTAAAGGAGAGTTTTCAAACTGTCAGTCACAACCCAGTAGTAAGTGATAACATTATACCAATTTAGTGGTTCATGACCACATTTATTTTTTAATTAGAAAGCATCAGAGGGCGTGAAGGCTAAGTACTGCTTCATGAAAATTTGTTTCAGGTGTATCTGCATGCAACCTTGCTGGGTCAAATCACAGAATCATATTATTTTTATTTCTTTCTGTGGGTCATGGCCAAAAACATTTGAAAGACACTATTCATCTCTTTACAGATGAGAAGCTTGAGGAAACCATGATGTAAGTGATTTTCCTGACCTAAGGCTCAGTCTTTTTTCTCTCAGGATTGTTAGAAGGATTACATTAGATGATGAACATAAAAGCAGCACTTGGCAGAGGGCCTGACCCATGATGGGCACTCCATAAATGGTAGTTTTTGCAAGCACAGTATACTGCAGTGATTAAGAGCATAGGAAGTAAGGTCAGACTGCCAAAAAAGATCACTTACTGGCTAAATGACTTCAGACCAGTTATTTCTGTTCCCTCCTCTTTAAAATGGAGATAAAGGCTTATATGTGTATTAAATGAGATACAGCACCGTAGTGCACCTGGCACAGTGCCTAGCACATTAGTGTTCATTAAACGTTACCATTCATTAATACCCAAGGGGACACAATGTATTAGGCATAGTGATCTTGACTCTAATAAAATGTTCTGTCCCTCATTCCATATCCCCCAGTGCTTCTATCATCTCCTGAAAAAGAGGCTATTTGAAGTTTTTCCCAAAAGATACACCTGGTACAAGTCATACCTTGCATTCTTTGTCCCTGTTCATATGGTGGTCTTGAAAGAAATATCAATACTACCCAGAGCTACATCTTTCTTGAAAAAAATCTCCCTAAGTTAACAGGCTCTACCTGGACCAGGTGGTCAAAAGACATGCTAAGTGTACCATTTATTTGTGATGGCTGACATGCAAAACTGCTAATGTCAGAATTATAGATACCTGATTCAAGTGGCACTGGGAATAGCAGTAACAGATACAGTTCACTGTTCGTTTTGGAATAAATATTACCCTCATCTTACAAATTAAGAAACTAGTAAATGGCAGAGTCAGAATCTGAACCTCAAGTTCAAGCTCTGAACCACCAGGACACTACTCACTCTCCTTCTAGGCAGGATATAAAATACTCTCATATTTTCTGAAATTCCACTTCCTTCCAACACTGAGTCAATGACTATACAATTCTTAAAAGAACTGCACGTTTTTGGATTGGGTTGTTTTTTTGTTATTGAGCTACATGAGCTGCTTGTAAATTTTGGAGATTAATCCTTTGTCAGTTGCTTCATTTGCAAATATTTTCTCCCATTCTAAGGGTTGCCTTTGGGTCGTTTATGGTTTCCTTCGCTGTGAAAAAGCTTTGAAGTTTCATTAGGTCCCATTTGTTTATTTTTGTTTTTATTTCCATTTCTCTAGGAGGTGGGTCAAAAAGGGTATTGCTGTGATTTATGTCATAGAGTGTTCTTCCTATGTTTTCCTCTAAGAGTTTGATAGTTTCTGGCCTTACATTTAGGTCTTTAATCCATTTTGAGCTTATTTTTGTGTATGGTGTTAGGGAGTGTTCTAATCTCATACTTTTACATGTACCTGTCCAGCTTTCCGAGCACCACTTATTGAAGAGGCTGTCCTTTCTCCACTGTATATTCCTGCCTCCTTTATCAAAGATAAGGTGACCATATGTGCGTGGGTTTATCTCTGGGCTTTCTATCCTATTCCATTGATCTATCTTTCTGTTTTTGTGCCAGTACCATACTGTCTTTAGACATTTCTCCAAAGAAGATATACAGATTGCCAACAAACACATGAAAGAATGCTCAACATCATTAATCACTAGAGAAATGCAAATCAAAACTACAATGAGGGCTTCCCTGGTGGCGCAGTGGTTAGGAATCCGCCTGCCAATGCAGGGGACATGGGTTCGAGCCCTGGTCCAGGAAGATCCCACATGCTGCGGAGCAACTAAGCCTGTGCGCCACAACTACCGAGCCTGTGCTCTAGAGCCCCAGAGCCACAACTACTGAGCACACGTGCCACAACTACTGAAGCCCTTGAGCCTAGAGCCTGTGCCCCGCAACAAGAGAAGCCACTGCAATGAGAAGCCCGTGCACCGCAACGAAGAGTAGCCCCTGCTCGCCACAACTAGAGAAAGCCTGCACAGAGCAACAAAGACCCAACGCAGCCAAAAATAAATAAATAAAATAAATAAATGTATTTTTAAAAAAAAAACTACAATGAGATAGCATCTCACACCAGTCAGAATGGCCCTCATCAAAAAATCTAGAAACAGGGGCTTCCCTGGTGGCGCAGTGGTTGAGAGTCCGCCTGCTGATGCAGGGGACACGGGTTCGTGCCCCGGTCAGCTAGGCCCATGAGCCATGGCCACTGAGCCTTCGTGTCCGGAGCCTGTGCTCCGCAACAGGAGAGGCCACAACAGTGAGAGGCCCGTGTACCACACACAAAAAAAAAAATCTAGAAACAATAAATGTTGGAGAGGGTGTGGAGAAAAGGGAACACTCTTGCACTGTTGGTGGGAATGTAAATTGATACAGCCACTATGGAGAACAGTATGGAGGTTCCTTAAAAAACTACAAATAGAACTACCATACGACCCAACAATCCCACTACCGGGCATATACCCTGAGCAAACCATAATTCAAAAAGAGTCATGTACCAATATGTTCATTGCAGCTCTATTTACAATAGCCAGGACATGGAAGCAACCTAAGTGTCCATCAACAGATGAATGGATAAAGAAGATGTGGCACATATATACAATGGAATATTACTCAGCCATAAAAAGAAAGGAAACTGAGTTATTTCTAGTGAGGTGGATGGACCTAGAGTCTATCATACAGAGTGAAGTAAGTCAGAAAGAGAAAAACAAATACTGTATGCTAACACATACATATGGACTCTAAAAAAAGTGGTTCTGATGAACCTAGGGGCAGGACAGAAATAAAAATGCAAACAGAGAATGGACTTGAGGACACGGGGAGGGGGAAGGGTAAGCTGGGACGAAGTGAGACAGTAGCACTGACATATATACACTACCAAATATGAAACAGATAGCTAGTGGGAAGCAGCCGCATAGCACAAGGAGATCAGCTCGGTGCTTTGTGACCACCTAGAGGGGTGGGATAGGGAGGGTAAGTGGGAGGGGATATGGGGATATATGTATACATATAGCTAATTCACTTTGTTATACAGCAGAAATTAACACAACATTGTAAAGCAATTGTACTCCAATAAAGATGTTAAAAAGAAAAGAAAAGAAAAGAAAATCTCCAACACAGTCTACATCCCTTGCCTGGCTTCACTCATTCCCCTACCCAACCTGGACTTCATGGTCAATTAATCAATGCAATAATAATGCACCCAAAACCACCCTAGTATCCTTTGTCCTCTTGACTTCCCTTCCCAAATTCCCAGTCTGAATGATAACCACTTTTGGAATTCTTCACTCAATTCTAGGTGCTCAATCTCTCTAGACAAACTCACAAAATGACTGCTCAGAAATCTCCTGGTTAACCTACTCCAATTCCCTGTGACATTCTTCCACAGTAGCAAGACCGTATCTTCTCCATACTCAAGCCCTCCCCAACTCAGCACATGACCTTGCTCCTCATTACTGAGTGTACTCAATAAATGAGTTCCAGTCCCAATTCATTCAATTAATAGCTGACAAACCCTATAGATGCCTCTTAAGAATCTGCCCACTAATGCAGGGGACACGGGTTTGAGCCCTGGTCTGGGAAGATCCCATATGCCACGGAACAACTAAGCCCGTGCGCCACAACTACTGAGCCTGTGCTCTAGAGCCCACGAACCACAACTACTGAGCCCGACTGCTCAGAAATCTCCTGGTTAACCTACTCCAATTCCCTGTGACATTCTTCCACAGTAGCAAGACCGTATCTTCTCCATACTCAAGCCCTCCCCAACTCAGCACATGACCTTGCTCCTCATTACTGAGTGTACTCAATAAATGAGTTCCAGTCCCAATTCATTCAATTAATAGCTGACAAACCCTATAGATGCCTCTTAAGAATCTGCCCACTAATGCAGGGGACACGGGTTTGAGCCCTGGTCTGGGAAGATCCCATATGCCACGGAACAACTAAGCCCGTGCGCCACAACTACTGAGCCTGTGCTCTAGAGCCCACGAACCACAACTACTGAGCCCAAGTGCCACAACTACTGAAGCCCGTGCACCTAGAGCCCATGCTCCACAACAAGAGAAGCCACCACAATGAGAAGCCCATGCACCACAACGAAGAGTAGCCCCCGATCGTCGAAACCAGAGAAAGCCTGCACGCAGTAACGAAGACCCAATGCAGCCAAAAATAAATAATAAATTTATATAAAAAAAAAAACATTCTCTCTGCCTCCATTCTTTTCTAATTCCAATTTATCTTATTCAGCACTAGGAAATTAAAGTTTACCTCTAAACTCTATTACTCTCTGCTTAAAAATTATTCCTCAGCTAAATATTAAAGCAATCTACGTGATCCAAACTAACTTTTCCCATTCATTTTCTAAAACTGGTACCTGTCCCAGGAAAATTAAATTCCTTAACACTCTCTCAAGCACACAACACACTTTCCCTTCATTCCTTCCTCTTAAAATTACTACCTGGGCACTTTCTGCCTGCCTACCTTGTCAATACCATATCTATCAAAATCATTCTGGACAGCAATCAATCTGCAGTACACGTCAAGTGTTTAAAAACATTCTATGCTGGGCTTCCCTGATGGCGCAGTGGTTGAGAGTCCACCTGCCGATGCAGGGGACACGGGTGCGTGCCCCAGTCCGGGAAGATCTCACATGCCGCAGAGCAGCTGGGCCCGTGAGCCATGGCCGCTGAGCCTGCGCGTCCGGAGCCTGTGCTCCGCAACGGGAGAGGCCGCAACAGTGAGAGGCCCACATACCGCAAAAAAAAAAAAAAACAAACATTCGATGCCATAAACATGGCAACTCCACTTCCAAGAACTTATCCTATGAAATACAATGACAAACAAAATAAAAACAGATACAGAGATCTATATTAAGCATTGTTTAATGGTAAACATTTGGAAACATTTCCATAAATTCCACAACGCATCAACAGCATGTGTGTATACTTCATTACACACAAAGTATGTATATAATTATTAATTATAGATATATGCCAATATGTTAACAATGCTTATTCTAGGTAAGCATTAAAATAGTATTAAAACATGATCTATTTTCTTCCTTGAGTTTTCCTGTATATTTCAAAATTTTTAGTACATGCTTAAACTTCCCACTAAGTTTTTTGTTTGTTTGTTTTTTGCGCGGGCCTCTCACTGTTGTGGCCTCTCCCGTTGCGGAGCACAGGCTCTGGACACGCAGGCTCAGCAGCCATGGCTCACGGGCCCAGCCGCTCCGCGGCATGTGGGATCTTCCCGGACCGGGGCATGAACCCGTGTGCCCTGCATCGGCAGGCAGACTCTCAACCACTGCGCCACCACTAAGTTTTAAGTGTTATCCAGGCAAAAAAGATGGAAAGGGTATTCTATACAAAATTATTTATCATGTATGTATTTATTTAAGTATTACTGCTTAGAGAAAAGTTACGGTCCTTGGAGTATACAAGTTAAGAGATAATAGTTTACCGTTATCAAAGCCAAAAAATAAGCAGGAAATGACAAAAAAGGAAGCTATAAATCAAGTCGTATAAAGGAGCCCTATTTGGCACACTAAGTTATTTGGTCTTGCCATTAACCCATAGAGGATGAAGAACCACTTAAACAAGAGGAAGATATGTTAGATTTTCACTTTCTATTATAGTTTATATAGAGCAGTTTGAAGAACAAATAGAAGAATGAAAGAAAGCAGGGAAAACAGGTGACCTATTGCAATCATCTTAGAAATCACTAAGGAGGGCATGAACTAGGGCTGTGAATATTAAAAATGCATTAATGGGTAGGCAGGAAAATAGAATTGGTGTTTGGCTGGATTTGCAGAGAAATTCATAAGCTTTTGGCTTAAACAATAGGCCATTAACTAAAAATGGGGAGAAAAAAAACGGAAGACATAAATTAGTCTGAAAGAAAACCGTGAAGATTCATCTTCTTGAAATACAATTTATCACACATCAGCCTCCACACCGACATATGCAGACTTTCCGCTGCCCATATGGAAAAGTCTGCAAATTGTTTAGCCTAACACTGAAGATCCTCCATGGAAAGACTGACACTTAACTTCATCTCCCTCCACCTCCCTAAATTACGTTTATGTTCTAGTTAAACTAATTCATTCTCATGAACATTCTCACCCCTGTGCCTCTGTTTATGCCATTTTCCCCAGGAATGCCCTTCCCTTCCCTCAATCTCATTACCCTGCTCTATTCTTCCTCTCTGACTCATTCTTGCAGAAAATGCCAATTCTTAGTATCTTTAACTTGTTACTCATCTCTTACATAAAATTTAAACTGATACTGATTTCATAAAAAGCTTACAATGAAGTTTTTGGAATCCATACTGGAATCCATATTGGAATCTAACAAGCCTAAAAAAATAAATAAATAAAGAGTAAATGACTCATCTATCCAACAACACCAAGGGAAAAGGGATTCAATTCAAAAAGGAACTGAGGGCTTCCCTGGTGGTGCAGTGGTTGAGAGTCCGCCTGCCGATGCAGGGGACACGGGTTCGTGCCCCGGTTCAGGAAGATCCCACATGCCGCGGAGTGGCTGGGCCCGTGAGCCACGGCCGCTGAGCCTGCGCGTCCGGAGCCTGTGCTCCGCAACGGGAGAAGCCACAACAGTGAGAGGCCCGTGTACCGCAAAAAAAAAAAAGAACTGAAATATCATTAAATGCCAAAACTTTGTTTTGTCCAATATAGTTTTTCTGCCCTCCTCACTCTATTAGGCCAGACTTTCACTTCTAAATACTCTCAATGTGCCTAATTCTAGCGGCTACTCTTACTTCTTTCTACTTTGCTATTTAACTTATACAGACCACAAAATCAAAATTTCAAGACCTAATGGTCTTGATTTTAATAAACCACATCTAAAATAAAATAAATTGATTCTTAGGGAGACTCTAAAGTAACCAAGGAGAAAAGTAAGTTTTCCTGTTTAGACATTTATGACACTATTTTGACTGTTCAAAGGACCTTTGTATGTTTTGGTTCTCCATTACATCCTCAGGAATTGAAATTGCCAAAAAACTTCCACCACTGTAATCATCATTTCAATGTAATTTTCAAGCATATATTACACAAAATGATTAGCAAAATATTAGAACTGGGACTCTTGCCATCAAAGAATTTACTATTTAGTCATGTGAAACAGAATACTCTTATAAAAGCATAAGACAATATAAGGAATATTTAAACAATGCAGGACAATAGAAGAGATAATAACATAGTTGTGGAGCTATACAAAATTAATTACAAATGACAAGATAGTAAATGATATAGTAACCCAAAGGAAAAGATCATTTTTTTCAGGTAAGGAATGGAGAAAATGGAAGAAGAAAAAAAAAAGATTTGAAAAAATTTCTGTAAGAACTTAAGTGAAGTTGAACCTTTTAATCATAGAGAGGAAAGTGTGGTGAACTGAAGGTCGTAACATTTGTTGTACACTTCCCTGCACTATTAAATATTTCATGTTTACACAATGTTTTACATTTGATGTTTACAAAAATGACCCTTAAAGTAGAGTTAAGACAAGACTAGTATAAACTACTTGTCAACATCTTAAGAAGAAAATAAAGAGTACCTACATGGAAGAAATATGGAGAAAGTCCTCTTACCTTGAATATACCAACCCAATCTTTTGGATGGGGATGGATATATGGAGTTAAGGTGTAATGACATTCTAGGTGTGCATTAGGAAGATAGCTCTTGGCCACATTTTGAAAGATGACATGGGCAAAGTTGGAAGTCTGCAGTGGAACTTCTTGAAAGGATGTCATTGCGAATCTGAAACAAGTAAATCATACAAATTTAATGATACCAACTAAGAAAAAAAACTCATACCTTCAGAAAATACATAACATTTAATGCAAATTACATGGATATTTTCATACCATAATTATTGAAAAGACATACTTTTATATTATATTTATATTATATTGTAAATATAATATATTTAATATTGGAACTCCTTCTTAAAAATGTGATTAAAGGGAATTCTGGTGGTCCTGTGGCTAAGACTCCACGCTCCCAATGCAGGGGGCCTGGGTTTGATCCCTGGTCAGGGAACTAGATCCCACATGCCACAACTAAGAGTTCACATGCCGCAACTAAGACCTGGCACAGCCAAATAAATAAATAAATTTTTTTAAATGTGATTAAATATAAAAACACAAACTGAGAAGTAATTAACTTACAATATGGCTCAGAAAGTTACATGAGTTTTAAAAATTATTTATTTATTTATTTATGGCTGCGTTGGGTCTGTTGCTGTGCGCGGGCTTTCTCTAACTGCGTTGAGTGGGGGCTACTCTTCGCTGCGGCGCCTGAGCTTCTTATTGCGGTGGCTTCTCTTGTTGCAGAGCACGGGCTCTAGGCGTGCAGGCTTCAGTAGTTGTGGCACGTGGGCTCAGTAGCTGTGGCTCGCAGGCTCCAGAGCGCAGGCTCAGTAGTTGTGGTGCACGGGCTTAGTTGCTCCGTGGCATGTGAGATATTCCTGGACCAGGGCTCGAACCCGTGTCCCAAGTGTTGGCAGGTGAATTCTTAACCACTGCGCGACCAGGGAAGTCCCGACTTAAAAAATTTTAAAAACCAAAATCAAAAACAAACTCTCAACTTTCCTGCAAAGCCTAGCCCTCTGCTTCTTTTGCAACCGAAAGCAAATGAGCCAGCAGTGTTTCTACATTGAACCCCTGAACTTCATCATTTTCCTCCCTAATCTGATCCATCCCATTCCTCCCCTAGGCTCCTGTAACTGATGCTAACCTCTCTGTGCCTGCATTCCTGACCCACACTCATGATCGCCTGGACCAGCTTTTTCTCAACCCTGGCTAGATATCAGAATCATTAGGGGTCTTTAGAAAGAAAAAGACAAGACAATGAATTTCTGGAAATGGGACCTGGGCGCACACACGCATGTGTGTGTATATCCACGCATTTTTTTTTTAAGCCTCCCCAAATAATCTCAATCCTGTATACAGCCAGGATAGAGTACTACTACTTAGACTCTGACCCAACCCAACAATTTAAGTCTCCATTAGCAACTCTCACAGATTCCCAGACCTAGGCTGTCTTCTTGGGCTTCTGGTTCATACTTGTTCAAATCTCTCAAATGATGTAAAATCTCAGTTGGTCTACTTGAAATAGTTCAGAGCCTATTTGCTCCTCTCTACCTATACCAATTATACCCTTTCATCCTACCTTGACCTCCAGTATTATTGTACTGTTTCCATACATTCACTGATTAAAAATAAATGTATTTTTAAATGTATAGTGTAAATGAAACACATACTGTTGAGAATCTATTATAGATTCAGTGAATGCTCACTGGTTTACTGAACACCAAGCACCAGCTAGTAGATGAATGGTGAAAGTGGCCTATAAAAATCTGCAAGACCCAAATGTTTTCCATATCTTGTGCTCTACTTTTGAGAAAAAGGATACAACTGAGGATTTACTCAAAAAATCTATCTCTGTACACTGTGTCACAGACTCAGTACAGTCACTGATCCTACAGTACCACATCAGAAACAATGACACTGACACTATGGCACTTAACTTCTGAGACATCAAAACAGGAATCTCTGTAACAATGAGAAAAACTGGGACAAGAATTTGCTAACCAAATTATTCTAACTTACTTCACAAATCTATGAATTTTCTACAGGACAAGCACAGAAGTAACACTACTCACTTTTTTTTTTTTTTTTTTGCCACGCTGCATGGCTTATGGGATCTTAGTTCCCCGACCAGGGACTGAACCTGGGCCACAGCACTGAAAGCGCCGAGTCCTAACCACTGGACCACCAAGGAATTCCCAAAACTACTCACATTTTAACGATTACTAAGAAGTCTTTATTGCTAGGAAAATCTAAGACAATATGCTTTTACAAATGTTTCTTTTGCTGATCTGTTTGAAATACTAAGGCAAATTTTTTAAGTTCTGAAATAAACACTTTAAAAATGTCTACTTTTCTTTCCTCTTATGTGTTCTCTGCTTCTGTTATGGTCAAAATACTGCTTTGTACTTACAGGACACACAATATACTAGACATCCCATAAAGAGACGGTCAGTCATCAACCTGGAAGCCACTGTGGTAGAATCCCAGGCTGGATGTCTGTCAGCCTCTCCCCACCTGAGGTTTGCCAGGATTCCAAGGTAAAGAGAATGCATTCAGTAATAAACCTCCTGTACCTCTGCACTAACAAAAAGGCTTTATTACCAGCGACCCTACTTCACAGAAGGACTTAACAGTCAATACTCTCCAGCTGATAACCCAAAGCCTTCAGGAAAGTGAAAAGGTAGCACAAACGCTAGAAACTGCCTAAAATAAGTGAAGAGTTCTACTACTTTATTTCTTTGAATAGTCTGAGCAAATATGGGCTCAAGGGGATGTCATGATGTTAATGAAGTCACTAATGATAATCTCCTTTCAAGTCAGGGGCTTCCTTAAAAAAAAAAAAAAAAGAAAAAAAACACTTGATTCTGGTTTTGAAAAAAATGTTCACTATTGGTTATAAAATACCCAAGACAGAGACTATAGTTAACCAAACTCTTTCAGATACAACTACCAAAACTGAGGCAAGTGAATCAGTAATGTTTTGCTATGAAGAAAGTGAATATTTAAGTTTCTCTGAGATAGATATTCAGTAAGGAGAAAATAAGGCTAGCTTAGGATGAGTTTCCCATGCTTTTAATTAAAAGCCATTTAAGAATGAAACTTTTTTCATAAAACTTGTTTCCTAAAGTAAACTAAATCAACAAAGCAGTAATTATTTGTTATAAAACAAGGTAGTGGAGTTTAAACTTTTGTTTAACCTCAATTACAACAGTGTTTAAAACTCGATAATCCAACCTTAGACTTTTACTTCACTGAAAAGTTTTTAAGGTATAAAATAGCATTAAGGTATACACATATGTATTTATATATGTACATGTGTATACATGCTTATAAATGCATCAAAAGGGACTCAAAAAGCACACATCATACAATCTTTACTCATGAGGGCTATGTGTGAAAAGAGAACTTAAGAGGACCTTAACTTTTAACTCAACTGACTGAATTTTTACCAGTATATTTAATGTATTCTTTTCATTATTTTAAATAAACACATTAACATGAAATTTCATTTTTAAACCCTCTCCCCAAAGTTCAAGTTTTTAATATAAAACCCTAACATCAGACTTTAAATATTCATCATATTCATGATGCTTACAAATCTTTATAGCATGATAATCTGTAATATCCCATTAATAACCTTCATTAATCTCTCACCAACACCAACACTCCAACCTTTTTAAACATTTCAATGCAACTATAGCTATAGAAATATTTTACAAAAGTCATTCCATTCTCATTATTACTTTTAAAATTAATTTTCCAATATAGCTTCTAGTCATAAAAAAGTTAACATGGATAAATGTAATCTGAATGTAATCACAACATGAATCAACCTGTTTTAAACAGTAAAATATCTAATTCCCATACAGTTCCTGTTTCACTCTTCACACAGATAGGAAACGGAAAAGATGGGCAAGCTTATAAAAATGCTGAAATTCACTGAGAATGCTAATGTATCAAGATGATTCACAGGCAGATTTATACACTACACACATGTTCACAGGCACACACACACAAAGACCCGCACACACACAGACCCACACACCACCCAGTGGAGAAGTAATACACAAAGTCACTGCATCACCTTGTGGTAATGCTTAGGAAGTGTAGCTTCACTAACATCCTGAGTAAAGAACAAACTGTGTGCCTCAGTTGGATAGAGGAAATATAGCCCCCACCACAAAAGGAAGTGGAACCAGCTTTACCATATCAAATTTTGTTCCCCATTCTCTAAAGTAAAGTACACCTCTAGAAACATGCATACATTAAGATGTAAACAAAGAATAAGTAAAAGTTTTCTAATTAAGAAAACAGACCAAAAAAAAAAACAAAATAAATGAACGAAACCAAACCTGGACATACGAAGAACAAGAGTAGTGGCGGGGCGGTGGGGGGGGGCCGGATATAAGTAAAGGGTACCAACTCTTTGATGGAGGATGGAAACTAAAGTTTTGGTGGTAAATATGCTGTAGTGTATACAGAAGTAGAAATATAATGTTATATACATGAAACTAATATAATATTATAAACCAATGTCACATCAATTAAAAATATTAATAAATAAAAAACAAAAATACATGAGAACAGTAAAACAAAACAAAAAAAAGGACCAGACAGATTTGGCTGGGAAGCAAAGTCTGAAATACATATACATGCTGCCTGCAGCGCCCTCTCCCATGTTTCCTACTTTATTCCCCAAAGTTCTAACATCTCTAGAGTTCCTTTCATGTGTTATGCTGTAAACTTTGGTCTACAAACCAATTTTGTTATTTTTGAGGATTCATCAATATCTAAGGAAAAAATAACTAATATGCAGTGGTCACTCAGTTAAGTAGCTAGAATAAATTTGGGGGGTGAAGGGTGAGGATTTCAATGCTATCTTTACTTCTTCCTCTTGGAACTTTTTCAAGCCCAAACCAGATCTGGCTTTTGTGGTAGTATTTTTCCAGTGGCTCCTGATACACATTTTATTTAACTAGCCCAAAATGTGTAAGCCTTAATCAAATAAAGTAGGAAACTGACTATATTAAGAATTTCTGTACATTAAATGCCCAGAATCAAATTAAGCTTTTTAATTTAGATATTGTATATAATTTGCCAATTCTAACACTGAGAATTCAAAAAGAAATAAGGTAATTTTGTTCTATGTGATAATATTAT